GAGCCATTTAAGGCTCGTCAGAGCCTTTCGGGCTGGTCTGCCTGGTTACAGGAGAACGACACCCGGCGTATAAGACGACCCCCGACTTTTGAGAAGATTTTCATGTGTTAAAAAGTCGTCTTATACGTCGGAAAATACGGTACTTAGCAAAAATTAGACAATTTTAAAGGAGAAAACAATGAATTAGGAATTGTTGGAAAGAAAGTATCCTCCCCAAAAAACACTCTTTGTTTATTTGATATAATCTGAGGAAATTATTTCCCATTCTACATTTGTCCAGGAAGATGCTCCAGTAGAGATTAGGAGGAAATCCCAGCCCACCTGCATAAATCTCCATTGTCTTTGTTAAGACACTGCACTCTTCTGTGATTTTGTCTTCAATTATCCTCTTGCCCATTCCGTGCTCCCGTAAAGTGGATAATGTAAACCGTCGCATCACTTTCCAGTTCTCACCATGAGAAAAAACAAGACCTAAAGAAATATTTATCTATATAAATAAAAATGTAAATGTCTGTTTGTACATAACCGCACATCTCCGAAAGTTCTTCACCGATTGCTTTCAAATTTTGACACAATGTTGCATTCGACTACGGGCGTGTTTTTATATACCTATATTATATACATGTCACACCTGTGACAGGTAAAAACATGAAAAACATTGGAAAACATTGAAAGACATTGACAAACATTGAAAAACATTGAAAAACAGCGCCACCTGCTGGACGTAAAACCAACACACCAACATTTTACCACATGAATTTTGAAAATTAAATCACAAATTTTTCACTAGGTATAATTCCAAAATATATCAACAAAAAAATATCAGCAGTCAATCAGATACAGCAATCAGATACAGAAGACTCAGGTAGCACATACATTTACATGTTTAAAAATGCTATAAAAATTGTTGCTCTGTTCTCTGAGGAAACATACTACACCACAGCTGCAGTTGTGTTTCTACTGAATGAAATGTCTAAAAATAGGCATTTGCACATATATACCTGAATACTTATAGGAAGCACAGATGAAGGGAATTTTGGGGAAAAGCAGACTTGTTATGAAATGTCACTCCATCAATAATTTCCAGGATAGATAAATCACTTAGTAACAAATCTTGGCAATGCCGTGGAAAAAAATGAACATTTTACCACATGAATTTTGAAAATTAAATCACAACTTTTTCACCAGATATAATTCCAAAATATATCAACAAAAAAATATCAGCAGTCCAGATACAGAAGACTCAGGTAGTCCTCGACTTGCAACAATTCACTTACTGACCATTCGAAGTTACAATAGTACTTAAAAAAGTGACTTATTACCATTTTTCATGCTTATAACTGCTTGACAACTGACTTACATTTATGACGGTTGCACTGTTCCTGGGTCATGTGATCACTTTTTGCAACCTTCTGACAAGCAAAGTCAATGGAGAAACCAGATTCACTTAACAACAGGGTTACTAATTTAACAACTGCTGTGATTCACTTAACAAATGTGGCAACAAAAAAAAGTGGTAAAATGGGGCAAAATTCACTTAAGAAATTTCTCACTTAGCAACGTAAATTTTGGTTTCAAAATTGTGGTTGTAAATTAAGGACTACCTGTATTAAAGATTGATTGGATTCGATTGGAAAGATTTAAAGAGCTCAAAACCAGATAAGAAAAATATAGTGCTACAAACATAGCAATAGAAACTTAGATATAGAAATTCATAATTCTATAAAATATAAATAGTTGTTGTAGCGCGGGAATAACGAGAGGCACAAGCAAGCTAGTGACAACAACTCTTTAATTCAGGGTGAGACTTCAGCGAAGAAACACAGGCAACAGTCCTCTTTATATACTTTTCAGAGGCAACCATGAACCAATCAGAATTCACTGTACATTTGAATTTCCCGCACAAAATAGATACATACATAACACTCCTCCCAGAAGGCACTTATCCTATCTATTTACATATTTACATACAAAATCACGCAGATGACCAGGGCGTGTCTTAGTTCTGGTTGACCTGCGCAGTTCAGTTGTTGGCGAGGTGTCGAGCTGGTCAGGGGGCCTCCCGTCTCTCCCGGCTCTGCCAATGGAACCTCCTGGATTTCTCCGGAGGTGTGGCTATCCCCAGCTGAGAGTGTCGACTCGCTGGGGTGGCGCTGGACCCCTGGGTTGCCAGATAAGTATTCTGGCTTACTCGGGCTTGAGGTAGCTGTGTCAGGAAAACTTTGGTAGTTAGGACTCACAGTAATTGAATTTTCGTGTCGTAACCGTTTACGCAATTGATCTATATGTCTCCTCCAAATTTTACCATGCCCTATATCAACTGTGTATGATTTTGGACCGGTAATTCCAACGATGGTTCCCTCTACCCATAATGGCCCGTTGGTGTAGTTTCTAGCAAATCCTGGTGTTCCCACTTCGAATTGCCTTAGTCCTCCCCCTTCCCCCTTGAAGCCATCGAGGGAGTAATTGGGATGCAATCGATCGAGAATACACCTTAGCTTTCGGCCCATTAAAAGCTCGGCTGGACTGCGGCCCGAGGTGGGGCACGGGGTGGCATGCTGTACAGCTAAGAACTCATCTATCCTAGCCTGCCAGTCCCCTGCATCAAGCCGGGAAAGAGCTTCCTTGGCCGTTCTCACAAATATCTCTACAAGGCCATTTGAAGCCGGATGAAAAGGAGCGGATAATGCATGTCTTATGCCTAGCTTGGCCAGGTAGCCCTCAAATTGAGTCACCGTGAATTGGGGCCCATTGTCAGATACCAGGGTGTCCGGCAACCCGTGTGTTACAAACAGTTTTCTGAGTACTTTGCTTACGGCCTCAGAGGTGGTAGATGGCATTAAGGCAATCTCAAGCCACTTAATATATGCATCTACAATGATTAGAAAGTTCTGACCATGGAACGGGCCAGCGAAATTGATGTGAATCCTCCCCCACGGTCCCTTTGGTTTTTCCCATTCCCGAACGGGAGCTATAGGAGGATCAGGGCGGGATTCCTGGCAGGGCTTGCACTTCCCGACCCACTCAGTGACGTCTTGGTCGAGATGTGGCCACCAAACATAACTACGAGCTAGGCCTTTCATGCGAACAATACCAGGGTGTCCCTCATGCAGCATAGCTAAAACCCTGTGCCTCAACCGCGAAGGAATGACCACCCTGTCTCCCCACAATAAGCAACCCCCCAACATAGATAGTTCATTTTTCTTGTTAAAGTACAATTGAAAATCCCCACTGTCCACCTTGGTAGGCCAACCCCGCATTACCCAGCCCATCACAGTGCACAAAATAGAGTCCCTGGCAGAAGCCTTTGCCACCTCGCTTGAAGAAATGGGGCCTGGGGACACAACATCAATGAGTAAAACTGGGGCTTCTGGAGTTGGGTTTTCTAACAGTTCGGGCAAGGGGCATCAGCTGAGGCGTCAGCATGTCCCAGAGTTCTGCCCGGCTGGTGGAGCAGTCTGTAGGAATAGACAGCTAAGAAAATGGACCATCTGGTCATCTGGGGAGAAAGAGAAGCCAGGGTCGGTTTATCTCCAGCCAAAAGTCCCAAAAGAGGCTGGTGGTCCGTAATGAGTTCAAAAGTTCAGCCAAACAAGTACTCGTGAAATTTTTTGACCCCAGCTACAGCCACTAACGCCTCCCTGTCCAACTGGCTGTAGTTCCTTTCAGCACTCGATAAGGTGCGAGAGTAATAGGCGATGGGCGCCTCTAACCCGTTCGGCAGTCTATGGCTTAAAACTGCGCCTACGCCAAAGGTGGAAGCGTCACACACCAATACTAGAGGTAGTTCTGAATTGTATTGAATTAGGAAACTGTCCTCAGACAAAAGTTTCTTTACTGTGTTGAATGCAGCCGCTTCTCGTTTGCCCCAAACCCAGGGAATGTTTTTTCCAAGGAGCCTGTGCAGTGGCTCTGCAATGGTGGCTTTGTGTTTTAAAAACATGGTGTAAAAATTAAGAAGCCCCAAGAAGGCCTGCAGTTCGGCCTTCGATTTAGGGGTGGGCGTGTTCTGGATGGCCCTGACTTTGCTTTCTGTGGGGTGAATGCCCGTGCCATCGATTCGGTAGCCTAAGAATTCCACTGATGGAACCGCTATTTTGCATTTTGCTCGTTTGAGTTTGAGCCCCGCTTCTCTGAATCTGGTTAGAACTTTTCTAACCCTATTTCCTAGCTGTGTCTCATCTTGGCCACTAATTAAGATGTCGTCGAAATATGGGACGACTCCTGGGAGGCCTTGTAGAAGGCGCTCCATGGTACTCTGGAAGAGCCCTGGGGCAATGCTAACCCCAAACTGTAGTCTAGTGCATTTAAAGGCACCTCTGTGAGTTACTATGGTCTGCGATTCTGCCGTAGCGTCATCTACTGGCAGCTGCTGGTATGCCTGCGCAAGGTCTAATTTTGCGAATAGCTTGCCAGGCCCCAGGGAGTGTAGTAGATGGTGGACGATCGGAACGGGATAGGCGCTCTGCTGCAACGCCTTATTGATCGAACACTTATAGTCAGCGCAAATTCTAATTGATCCATCCGATTTAACTGGTGTGACTATTGGGGTTTCCCACTTAGCATGATCTATGGGAACTAACACCCCTTGTTTAATGAGCTTGTCGAGCTCTGCATCGATTTTGGGCTTTAAAGCAAATGGAACCCGTCTTGCCTTAAGCCTGATTGGCGCTACGTTGGGGTCTAAATTAAAAGAGATAGGGGTCCCCACGTACTTGCCTAGCGTCTCCTCAAAAATGTAATGAAATTCGTGAAGAATGGTTTCTTTGAGAGATGGGCCACCGATGATGTGGACGCCCATTTTAATTTTAATTTAATTTAATTTCGAATTTATATACCGCCCTTCTCCCTGAGGACTCAGGGCGGTGTACAGCCAAGATAAAAAACATAGAATACAAATATTAAAACATTTAAAAATATATATAAAATTTGGCCCAAAAAATTAAAAATCGCAGACTAATTAAAAGGATTTAAAAATTTTAAAATTTTAAAATTTCTTCTTAAGCCAACCCGGCTTGCTGAAAAAGATAGGTTTTCAGGGAACGACGGAAGGCATTGAGGTCCTGGATTCTTCTTATCTCCGGGGGCAACTGATTCCAGAGGGTGGGGGCCCCCACAGAGAAAGCCCTCCCCCTGGGGGCCACCAGCCTACATTGTTTGGCTGATGGCACCCTGAGGAGGCCCTCTCTGTGGGAGCGCACGGGTCGATGGGAGGTCATCGGTAGCAGCAGGCGGTCTCGGAGATAGCTAGGCCCTATGCCATGGAGCGCTTTAAAGGTGATAACCAACACCTTGAAGCGCACCCGGAAGACCACCGGGAGCCAGTGCAGCTCGCGCAGGAGTGGTGTTACATGGGAGCGCCATGTTGCTCCCATCACTACCCGCGCTGCTGCATTCTGGACCAGCTGGAGCCTCCGGGTGCTCTTCAAGGGGAGCCCCATGTAGAGAGCGTTACAGTAGTCAAGGCGAGA